TGCCCAAGCCCAGGAGCTGGAGGTTGCTGTGACTGTGATGCCATGGCACTCTACTGAGGGCAACAAACTAAGACTCTGTCTCTAAAAAGAATAAATAAAAACTAAAATAAATCCCAACTATGCCACTTGCCAGCTACATGACCTCAGGCCAGTGATCCTACCTCCCCAGGCCTCAGTCTTGCCATCTGTCAAATGTGGGGAATCTAGTATCTCCCTTATAGGGTTGGAGGTTTGGTGTTAACACAGGTAGAAGTGGTAGCATACACAACTGCTCTCAGATGGGCTTTTTTCTTTTTGAGACAGTCTCACTTGTCACCGTTGGCAGAGTGCTGTGGCATCACAACTGAGCAACCTCACACTCCTGGGCTCAAGCAATTCTCTTATTTCAGCTTCCCGAGCAGCTGGGACTACAGGAGTCCGCCACCGCCCGGCTATTTTTAGAGGCCGGGGGTGTTGCTCTTGCTCAGGCTGGTCTTGAACCTGTGAGCTCAGGCAATCCACTTGCCTCGGCCTCCTAAGTGCTGGGATTACAGGCATGAGCCAGCACGCTTGGCCCTCAGATGGGCTTTTAAAAAGCTGAGAAGAGGGCGGCGCCTGTGGCTCAGAGAGTAGGGTGCTGGTCCCATATACTGAGGGTGGTGGGTTCAAACCCAGCCTTGGCCAAACTGCAACAAAAAAATAGCCGGGCGTTGTGGTGGGTGCCTGTAGTCCCAGCTACTTGGGAGGCTAAGGCAAGAGAATTGCCTAAGCCCAGGAACTGGAGGTTGCTGTGAGCTGTGATGCCACAGCTCTCTACCAAGGGCAACAGAGTGAGACTGTCTCTAAAAAAAAGACACCTACACTCAAATGTTCATCACAGCACAATTCCCAATTACAAAGATATGGAAACAACTTCAGTGATGAATGTGTAAAGAAAATGTGGTATACATACATTGGCCTGGTTGGGCCAAGGGAAATCTTCCCTGAGCAAGTGACACCTGAGCCAAGATGGAGACATTAGAGTGATCTTTAGCAGAGGGCTGGGGTGAGGCTGGGGGTAGGGACCCAGCAAGGCTAACAGGCAGAGAGTGAGGAAGACCAGCCAAGGTAAAGAGAGGTGAGCTGAGGGCCAGTAGAGCTCAATCCCTGTCCTGTGAGCAGACTGGGGAACATCAGAGCATCTAGGCAGATGGCTAGTAAGGTGACTGTGGTTCGTAAAAGGAGGTCCCCAGTGAGAAACAGATAGATGTAACAATCAGGTTGGGGGGACAAGTTGTAGGGTCTGAGTTGTTGTCAGTCTCTCCTTGGAGAGAGATCAGTGGGTGCTTAGTACTGGAGGGAATGGAATGGGGAGTTAAGACGATGCCCAGGCTCCAGACAGGATGGATGGGGCTGATCCAGATGAAGAATCGCTGGGCTGGAGGCCCTCTGAGACCCAGTCTAAACCTATGGGCTGCTGCATAGTGGGAGAAGCTGGGACATTCTTCAAATGGTGACAGAGCCAGGCTAATGGTTGGAGTCCCATGGTCTGAGCAGCAGTGCCTGGCCACAGAGGCCAGCCCTCACCCCACCAGCAGGTACCACGTACGTCTGACCATTGGTGGCCCGTGAGGGTGAGAAGTCTGTCAGCTGCAGGTTGCTATCCCGGACTTGGTTGTAGTCCCACAGCTGGTAGTGCCAACTCTTGCCCTGCTTGGAAAGAAGGTAGACGGTTCCTTCAGACCCTTCCTCTGGTAGGGATAGTGGTTGACAGGGTGTGCCAGGCACTGGGTAGAACAGGCCTGGAAGCTCAGGGTCTTCGGTGTAGCCATGGCTTGGGATATGCTGTACACCCAGCAAGACCCCTAGGGAAGAGAAGGAGGGGGTGAGTGGCAGGTGACTGAGCCATGACTAGGTGCTGAGACCACTGAACCCTACCCCTCCCAGGCCTCTGTGGGTGGAGGAAGGGGCTGTCTCTATCCCAAAGTTACAGAGAAGTTAGCAGAAGCCAGCAAGCACACAGCTAGGCTGGGATTTTAACCTAGGATATCTGGTTCCAGACCTGTGGGCGTTTTGAGTCCTGCCACCTCTGGCCTGGTAGCACAGGGGGGCAGAGAGATAGCATTAACAGAGCACACGCTGTCACCTAGCCACCCCCAGCTGCCCAGGGAACAGAAGCTCCAAGAGGAGCTCTGAAGACCACACAGTAAAGCCTATACCTGGGCCTCCTCCTGTGCACAAACCTGACAACCTTTCAGGCAGAATGGTGATGACATTGCTGATATGCTTGTGGAGACATGTCATATACCAAGCATTGTTCTGAGAGTTTTGCATGGTCTGCCCAGAAGGCTGCCTTGTGAGGTGAGTACTACTGTCATTTTTGATTTCCAGACAGGGAAATGGAGTCCCAAAGAGGTGAAGAAACTTGCCCAGAGTCATAGAGCCTGGAAGTGGCTGGGCTGGGCCTGGAGCCCTGACTGCCTGATGCTAAAGTCTGTGCTCTGAGCTTCTAGTTATGTAAACCCAACTGGCAGACACCTGAGGTACCTGCTGTCTGCCAAGTCCTATGGTGAGAACCTCATGGAAATGATGGTTTAGCTCTGGTCCCTGTCTCAGGAGTGCATAGGCTAGCTGGGGAGACCCTGAATGAGAGGTACAGGGATAAAGAAAATAGATAGAACTCACCTGCACTCACTGCCCAGTGGGCCTTGTGTCCCTGCTTCTGACACGGCTCATGGTTGAAGTCCTCATCGTAGCTGGTGCTGGTGTTAAGGCTGAAACGGTGGCATGGCCCTAGGACCCACCCTTTGCCATCCCTGTTCCACCCTCTCATGGGCCTGGGATACGGGATGAGCAGGGGATGTCCAGTGACAAGGTGCTGCAGGACAAGATCTCTGTTGGGACTGCCCAGGCCACCACAGAGCAGCTTGGTCTGGCAGCCCAGTACCTCCTGGGCCAGTCTGCCCATGTTTGCCACTGTAGTGTGAGAATACACAAACGGCTTGCTCTATGCCCGACATTATGCCAAGGGCCTACCAGGTGACATCTCCAACCCTCACCATGACCACCTTGGTACAGAGAGGCTACCTGACAATGCCTACAGTGAGGAGGTGGCAGAGCTGAATTTGGAACCCAGGCAGCTGGCTTGAGTTTACCTCAAATCCACTCTGTTCTACAGAGTAGGGAAGAAGGCCCAGAGAAGGGAATGAGATCCCCTTATGTGCCTGCCAGGACCCCACCCAGCCTCTCTGGCCCCTCCTAGTGAAGGGCTAACAAAGCACCTGGCACAAGACCCCTCCCCACCCAACTCACCAGAGAACATTTCTCCCTGGGCTGTGTAGCCTCTCTCCAGGGCCACCTGCACAAGTCTTTCAAGGGGGATGCCATTGGGGGGCAATAGGAGAGTGCCAGCCATCCACAAGGCCACCAGTCCACATCTGGAGACAGGCAGACCCAGACTTTCAACCCTTAAGTCATGGGCTCCCCCTTACCCTGAAACTTGAGTGGGAGAACAGCCTTGCTAACCTGGGGGAGTTCCCTTCTTACTCCCAAGCTGGATGAAGAGACCAAACTCCCCTTCATGAGAGAGGACTTCCAAGGCCTAAGCCCAGGGCTAGAGTGCTAGTGGAGGGGTGGGAAGAGGTCACCTGGGCTTCCTGGGAGTAAGAGCCAGAGTGGAATTAAGAGAATGGCGTGGTTCACACTTGTTCACTTGCTGTTTACTACGGCTGTACCCAGGACCCTGACGTGAAAAATTCTCCCTTTCCCTCCCTCCATCTCTTCCCCAATCTGCCTAGGATGAACCCACTCCCTGTATCCTCCCAGAAAGGGAGGTTGGGGGTCCCACATCAGGGCACTCACTGAGGGCCTTCTTGGATGAGAGACGGCAGGTCGGCACAGAAGAGGATCCACTGCAGGTCACTTCGGAACCTGAAGAAGAGCCACAGTAGGGTCACAAAGGAACTAGATCTGGGAGTCCCTTCTCAAGGTCTGGCTGGGAGCAGGGTGTCCAGGGATGGTTAAAGAATAGGCCTGGCTGTCCTAAGGCTAAAGAGCTGCTCCCGGCGCACTGACTTGATCTCCCTGAGTCTCAGTTTCCTCATCTGGTCAGTGGGAATCATCCTGCTTGCCTGCTCCCTGCTCTGTTAATGAAGGGTGTAGAGCAAATAGATGTGCAGACTTCACAATGGGGAATCAGAAAAGCTTATTTGAGGAAATTTCTCAAATCAGTATCTCTATACCCAAAGTCTTCCTGTCACTTTT